GGACGGGGCCCGGCGGCATCCTTGGGGGGTGGGGGTTGACGGGCTCCCGGCACCGCAGCGGCATGAGTAGGGCATGTCGGCCGTCCCAGGGCCGGGGCAAGGGGGGCAGGAAGCGAAGAGGCAGGAAAAAAAGTTAAATGCTTGAAGCTTCAGGTTTGCTTGCTCGTAGGTGTATATAACTATGGCCTTTTCCTGTCTCCAGCTTTTCAGCCCCTGGTTCTCTGGATAAATAGGCACCATACACTGTCCGGGAGAACCCCCACCTGTCACGATGTGCCCATGTTTTCCCAATATTTCACACCTGCTTTAACCGGGTTCCAGGTCTCTCTTCCCCAGAACCATGCCAATTCCAGGACCTCCCGAGAGAACCTGGGATTTGGGGTCTGGTGAGATTTAGGTGTGGAAGTGTCGTGATGGGGAAGACAGCGGCGCACCCAGGGCGTTTTCTGAGCTGGCTTTTCCCTTTGCATTACTAAACTTTCTCCCGTCTTTTCGGTTCTTAAACGTTGTTGGAGTTGTAGGTTTTCAAAATTACTGCTTGTATGATGTCCATTTTTTGAAATGCTGGATGAAAATAATGCATTTTATGTGATTAGCATGGGAATTTTCCCTTGTTAAGTATTTTCAGTAGATACATAAATTTATACTTATAATTAAATTATTATTGTAATTAAATATAATTATGTATTATACATAAATACATTTCATGGTAGTTTTTGTGTTTGTTTAAAGTAGAAACTTACTTGTTTTGACTAGGTATGGATGGCAGAACAGAAAATATCATATGATAAGAAGAAGCAGGAAGAATTAATGCAACAGTATCTTAAAGAACAGGAATCCTATGATAATAGGTGAGAATTGGCATAAGATCACATACTTCCTCCTGCTGTCTCTTGTTCTCATGGCAGTGAAGGACATCTCATTGTCAGTTATTTGAAATACTGTCTCCCACTGACTGTAGGAGAGGACAGCAGCTCATATACGTTGATGTCTGATTAACCCAAGGTCACAATAACTTCTTTAAAATGGCTTGTGTGTGTCATGTAATATATTTCAAAATATGTTGCGTTGCACAGGAACAGCAGGTAAGCTTGTATAGGAACATATTTGTATCACACAGAAACCTGTCCTCCATAATTCCGTGGACACAGAGTTATGTTTCAGTTGTGACCGAAACGTGTAATTTTTGGTACAGTACACAATGGAGCATGCAAAAGTATTGACTGGTCTCTCCGCTTTTTTGATATTCAACTTCTGGTACTCAAATTAACAAATGAAAAAAATATGCCAGTTGTTATCACAATTTCGTGCCGCACGTTTTTTGGGTTTTTTTGATAAGTAAGTGATACCAAAGTGAATGTTTTGTATGTAACACCCCAAACTCTGTCCTTTTTATTTAGATTGCTTATGGGTGATGAGCGTGTGAAGAATGGTCTGAATTTCATGTATGAGGCCCCACCTGGAGCAAAGAAAGGTATTCTTTGTGAGCAGACAGTAATGCAAAGCTACAAACCTTCTGAAGAAACAAGCATAATGTCTTTTATTTTAAAATAATGTGTTCATAGTGAGGTAATGCTAGAAGGTATGGCTTTTGGTTCTTCCTGTGTGAATATGTATAGTATGTAATAATTTTGATCTCGCACTATTTTAATTTCTTTCAAACTGAGAACGGTTGGGGTTGGTTGTTTGGGGTTTTTTTTAAACAACAGTTCAATGTGAAGGGAAAAACGGATAAAATATCTTTCCTGGCAACAGCAGAAATTCTGTCCTTGAGCAAGGGTGTTTCTTTAGCCAATTATGAAGCCAGTGGATGAGGAGGACTAGACATGATGATCAAGGCGATGACTCAGACAACACAAACCTGTATTTTAGTCTACTCTTCTTTTTAGAAATAGCAAGGTCACTTTTGCTTAAAAATTCTGCCCCATAATGCAGCTTGATGCATGTCAGGCATAGGAAATACCAAAACAAGAAGTTGAATTAGTGGATGTTTTATAAACAGCGAATACTGAGAATCTTTAGTTAAAAGTGCTGGATGGCCTGACTCTGGTGGGTCTGACTATGACTGTGTTTAATGGATTCATAAACAGAAGTTACTACATACCTGGTGGATACTCGTATCAGTCATTTAATTTTAGCAAAATCTGAAAGTAAGTGCAGAACTAAGAAAACATACTTGCTTTAAGATAAAACTTTTTCCCTTTAAAATGCGTCTTTCTCATTTGCATGAAAACCCTTGAAAATACTTGGATGGGCTCATTCTTCTAGAGCAAATTTTGCAATTGTTTAAGTTTTAAAGCTCTGAAAGTAATCCCTTTTTGCTTAGAGCAAATGCAATTTTAAATTAGTAATTTTTGCTAAAAAAATATTTTTTTAAAGATTTTAAAATTAAGTATTGTTACTACTTCTGAAAAAAAATTTGAAGTGTTTTGTATTTGTATATCAAATCAATCTGTTGTTTAAAAGATGATTCTGGTTTTACAAGATTTGTAACCACATACTAGAGGCTGTTTATTTGTATGTGCACTCTAAATAAAGTTACTGAGTATTTGCACTATTAGTATAAAGCATAAAATGTTTTGTTTTCAGCTTAGACACCAGCTGTATTTTAGATGTATAATTAATATACCATTTCTTTTCTTTCCATGATTTCTGAAAATTCAAAGAGGAAACTAAAGAGGTATTTTATTACATAATTTCTTTGTTTTCTTCTTACTTACTTAAAATGTGTTTAAAAAAAAAAATTCAAACTTACCATATTTTCTGTTTTATAGCAAGAAGGAGAGACTGAATACAAATTTGAATGGCAAAAAGTCGCCCCTCGAGAAAAGTAAGATGTCTGGATTTTATCAGAATATTTTTTTTCTACTTACTTACCTTTCATATCCTTTTCTCTTTTTCTCTTTTTTTTTTTCCTCCTTTTTTTTTCTTTCCTGTTTTGTTTTTGAGCAGGTCACTTGTGTAATCCTGTCATGTCCTGGGAGTAAATTAGTGAAACCTGTAAACCTGGAACTGTTTCCTTGACCAGCTTAGTTTTTGTTTGAATTTTAGATCCATATTTAAAATACATTAAAACTAATGTTTACCAGTGATACACACTTAACAATAAAAGGTAGTTTTGTATATGATGTTTAAAAAAAAATAAATAGTTAATTGAGTATTGGTTTTCTTTTGTGTTTGCATAACAGATATGCTAAGGATGATATGAATATCAGAGATCAGCCATTTGGTATCCAGGCAAGTTACATAAATTTCACTCTGTGGATGTCTTGGGTATATTTCAAATATTATCTAACTGCAGAACACTCACATGGACTCTCTTAATTTTATCATCTGTTTCTCAGTGAGTTTAAAAGCTTCTCTTATGCTTAATAACATAGACATTTCTGTAAATGGTAAGTTGTATTGTTAACTAAATGATGTCATTTTTTTTTTCCTTTTAGGTGCGGAATGTGAGATGTATTAAATGCCACAAGTGGGGACATGTAAACACTGATCGAGAATGTCCCTTATTTGGCCTTTCTGGAATTAATGCAAGTTCAGTCTCCAGTGATGGTTCAGGTAGGCAGTAAATGTCTTTTAAAGGTGCTGGTTTGATATTTTGGGAGAGCTTATCGTGTTTAATTTTAGAATGTTTAAGTTATCATATTTCAAAGAGTTGATGAAAGGGGGAAAACACTTCTTTATTCCAAAGGTAGGATCCACAATTTCAATTTAATTATTCCAAATGACAGGGACTTAATTTTCTGATTAGTAACATATTTTAAAAAGATTCTGTAATGACTGTTGCTTTGTTTCTATCTGTGGCAAAAATGCAGAAGCTGCAATGAGATTGTTTATATCAGAATGACAATATTTGTGTTACCAAAAAAAAAAAAAAATTTGAAGTAGTGGATTGTCAAAGACCATCCCAGTTCAGATTCAGGCAAACTGCTTGGAAAAGCTGGACTATATCAGTATATCTTTGTTAATCGGTTGGAAAAAATTAGAGGTTTGGAGTTTTTCAGTATATGTAATTGTGCTTCTATAAGTGGACAAGCAACTGAAACCTGGATTTCCAAACGTCTGGTTTCCTTTCAGCTGGCTTCTTGAACTACAATTTTTTCCTCTATTAGCTGTCCTGTTACTTGATGTCACGCAGCGTTTAGTGTTAGGTGAGGTTTAAAGAAGTGGATATAAACATTCAAATTGAATAATTTTTTGCCTACAATACTTCGTTTTCTGTAAGTTGACCCAAGGTTTTAACACTTTTAAGATTCTTAATATTCTGCCATGTTAAAGGAACACCTGGTAACGTGGGTGAGTCTCCAGACTTGCTGTACCGTGCTTCAAGATCATGTGCCATGTTGTGTGTTCA